GCTATTACATATAAGTTGTTTTTGTTGTTGTTGTGTTGTTGTTTCTTGTATCTTTATATATTATTGCATTAATGCTGGAATAATTGCTGGAATATATTAACTAGTAAAAAGCAAATGGTATTAAAGTGCATACTCAAACCCATAAACAAATGTTACGGTTGTATTACATTTGCCGAGAAGAATGGACATTGTCTTTTTTTACTAGTCCCTAACGTATATATTGTGTTTGGACATGTGATCTGCCCACTAATATTTATACAGTATATGTAATCATATTTCATTAGCATATTATGGCTGTGAAATGTATGGAATATAGCGCTAGGAAACTATAAATGAAATTAAATAAAGCTTTTAAAACGTTCGTTTTAGATCTCTTTTAGGAACAAATATGATAATCAGCACCACAAATAAAACGCTTCAAAATTAAGTCCTAAAGCTGCTTCAATATCTGGAAAAAAGTAATCCCTCTGAAGCATTGAAAACAGCAAAATTACAAGAAAATTGCAAACTTGGTTTCATTAGGTCTGTACATGAGAGAGAATGAAAAGGTGCAACATCCATCACACGCCCTATAGCACCGGCTTGAGCGGTTCTCAATTCTCAACACTAAAAAGTACTGGACTCATTTATCCCGAAGGATCAGAATATTGAAATATGAAATTGATATACATGTATATAAACTGTTTAAGAGAACAAAGTTTTAAATAAATCAAAAGTAAAGAAAATATATATTTAGAACTTCAGATATGGTTTATAAATAAATACGAACTATGCCCATGACGCTTCAAATATTTTATTAAAAGAAATAACTGAACAGCAAATAATGTATAAAAAATCAAAACGAAAATCAACAACATACAAAAATGACGTCACTTAACATTTAGCGTACATAAATATAAATATGGATCAAAGGGATACAATAGGTTTCAGAATAAAATTACTTTTTCAATTCACAAAAGTTTTAACACAAATTATATCCTTTTACATTTTTCTGTTTATTTTGAAACGAGTTACAAGAAAATGATAGTTTGAGATGCTTTTATAGTGAGAAGTGCTTCAAAAACCTCAAGGCGGCTGTCTATCCAAGATTTTTGCGGCCTTCTGAAAATTCACAGATATTTAAATGACAATAATGTTTAAGAGGTATTTTTAAGTGAGAAGTGCACACACAAAAATCCTTAAGGCAGCTTTCCTTCCCAGGTTTAAGGTTTAAGTGACAATATATCACATCTATAAAAAAGTCTAGGAACATCTGTTTAACTTAGAATAATTACATACCTTCCCTGATGGAAATCTTGTGATGTCAACAAAATGTACAAAAGAAGTATAAAAATGATGTAAGATAAAATATAAGGACAAATTCTTCTCCGGGGGCGAAGACAAATATAGTTTATTAGATTAAGATTTTATGATATATGATGTTTGTATTACTTTAGGGAATTCTGAATGTTTCAAAGGAGGTGTTTCTATATAATTAATATTACCATTATATGACTTTTTTAGATATTGGATGTCTGCTATTTTATTCTCTAAATTATAAGAGTTTATTTTTACTGCTTATTCCTTGATAAATCAATATAAAATAATGATAAGTAAATATCCCCTCTTATTCCTCATTAATTCAATTAACAATCAAGTTACATACAAAGTACATATATGCTTAAAAGTTAGTTGTAAGAAAGATTCGACGTTCGCAATGCTGTAGACAAATAATAGTAATAATAGATAGGAACATTGTTTAGCGTCAAAATGATTTATTTTTTTATATAACATTTATGTCAAAAGTTCCTTGTTAAAGGAAACAACGGCTGTCGTTAATGGAGTTCGAACTCATGCGGCTAACAATCCTTAGATTGATTGTCGTACGTGTTAACAGCTCAGGCACGCCGTCCCTTTATTATCTGATTGTTTGATAGTTTATTTCTACGTAATGTAACTTCAAGAAACGCAAGTATTAAATATCCGTTAGCAATACATGTTCTACACATTTTTGCTATAATTATGTTAAGCAAACGTTAACGTTTTGTTTCATTTTTGCTGCCAGGGGATACAAATCATGATTTGTCATCATGGCAGATTCGTAACTGATATATTAAAGAAAATTTTACTTTTACGAAACGCAAAAATAAAACATAGCAAACTTCATACTGTTTTGGCGTATTTGTGTTTGCGCATCATTTTGAGTAAGACGTATTTTTTATATAAAAAACTTTATAGACAAATAAATGTGTTTAAAATGTTAGAATAAAACATTTCTAAAATTCTTTTGTTTCTAAGTATTGAGCAATATTTCGTGTTTATATTCTTCTAAACCTTGTTCTTGTCTATTCAAAATGTCATAAATGTGCCCGCTTACTGTTACAATTCGTCTTAATCGATCAGCTTGCCGTTATTAAGAACGGACTCGAAATAAATGTTCCGAAATTTTTATATCATTTGATTAGGGATGGTCTATGCCAATTTATGTGAACATTTTCAGACCATGTGACTGTAAAGAAATTTTCTTGGCTCAGACGCAGTTATAAGGTACTTGATTGGATGGAAACCAAAACAGAATGTGAACTGACCAATGGGAATCCTGATATTTGAGAAAGATCTCAGGAAAAGGTTTAATAACCTCCAGGTCAGATCATTCGCTCACTCTGTATATCTAAGAATATTCTTTTTTATGTTGCAAAAAACTCCCATTTAAACTCCAGTGTTAATCATTATTGCAGATGTAGATGTGTATTATTCCATTAGAACCAGTATAAACTGCCAGTGATGTGCGCGAATAATGCCAAAATAAACTTAACGGCCTGTGAAACATAAAAGAACACCTGTTTTAATTAGATATTGTAGGGTGAATTTGTTGAGCACGGGTATTATGATATAAAATAATTATTCAAATGAAATCGGTTGTACCACAATTGCTTTCTTTCGCATTCCTTTCTCGCAGATACCTAGATGTTATTATTAATTTGATATCTCGTAAAAAAACTTTACAGTGTTTATAGTACTTTTTACAATATTTCAACATGCACCAAATGCTTATGTTAATCAGATGCCTGATCTTGTTTCTATACTAAAATTTTACACTGTTTTATATTCTAAAAATTTCATAACATTTAAATTTGTCCCATAAATTTACAAATTTTAAATGATTAAATATTTTTTATAAAACATTTTTCTTTCGTCTTATGAATAGTTCTTATCAGGTTTAAACGTATAAGCTTTTATATCATTTTAAATTATTGCATTTATGCCTGAATGGTTGTTTTACTTATAAACACGTTTCCATTGATATAGGAATAAACGGCTGTTAACTAACATAGTGCAAAAATATTGCTAATAAAGTGCATGCTAAAACCCATTAACAAATGTAATATTTACCGGAATCTTTAATTCTAAAATAATGATCATTAAAATGTCAGTTTTACTTGTTTCTAATGTATAATCTACCCACTAAGATGATTTGTAAACTTAATGTTATTTTTTTTAATAGCATTCATTCTGAGGCAAAAATTAAACATTAAAACGAAGGCATGCTGTAAAAAAATGATTCGAGAGCACGCTGCAAAAATGCATTACTTGAGAATAACGATTACGAAGGCACGAAAAAAAATCATAGGATGCAAAGAATAACATAAATCTGGACACGCTGCAAAGAATAGATACTGATAAGGGAAGATCACTGCGTAGGAGATTGCGTGTTTAGCACAAAAAATGCTAAAACGCTTTCAATGTAAATGCATCTAGTGTACATGCCATTACATTGTTGTTCTTGTTTTTGTTTTCTTTTTCCCGCCGAAGGCCGGTATGTTTTCAGTTTGACTCAATTAAAATTTTGATTGGAATAAACTTCAGTTACTTGTTTTTCTTTTAGATGTGTGAAGTTGGCGGCCTGGCGGTCAAGCATAATTAATGCATATAAAACGTTTTTGAAAAATTAAAATAATTCTGTTATATACATAGAATGAAAAGTAGAAAGAAAACTCTAAACTCAAAATTTCCCAACAAGTTATATATTATCTTTTTAAAATTTCATATCGAACTTAAAAAGAAGTAAACTGATAACCCGCTTGGTTTGCATTACTATTGTTGTATATAAACCAATTTAAGAGATATCTGTGAAAATTACCCTCATAATCAATAACATAAGGCAATGGCATATTTTTTAAGTCTGCTCTTTGATAAAAGGGCGGACAATTATTTGTCCCTTTCTCGTAAGAGAAGGGGAATCCTTCATGCAATCATGCAAAGTTCTTTTGAACCCTTGCGCCATTTCCAACGTTAAGGGAGGTCACTCTTACGGACTCTATTTATAGCGCTAAAGTAACTTCCCTTAGGAATCCTTACATCATTTGCAATGTTATCAGGAGAGCTCACTCTAACCCACTCTTTTTTGAGCGCAACAGTAACCTCCCTTTAGAACCCTTACACCATTTGCAATATTATCAGGGTAAGTCACTCTAACCTATTCTTTTATAACGCAACAGTCACCTCCCGTTGGAACACGTACGTCATTTGCAATGTTATCAGGGGAGGTCACTCTTATCAACTTTTTTGAGCGCAATGGTTACCTCCCTTTGAACTCTAACGTCATTTGCAATGTTATCAGGGCAGGTTACTCTAATCGACTCTTTTTTTGAGTGTAACAGTAACCTCTCTTTGAACCCATATGCCATTTGCAATGTCATAAGGGGAGATCACTCTAATCAACACATTTTAGCAAAAAAGTTACCTCCCTTTAAAACCTTACGCCATTTGCAATGTTTTCAGGGAGGTCACTTGTAGTGACTCTTTTTAAGTGCAAGAGTAACCTCCCTTTTGAACCGTTACGCCATTTACAATGTTTTCAGGGGAGCTCACTGTAACCAACTTTTTAGGGCAAGGGAGGTCACTTCTTTGTTTTGTTTTATTGTTTGTTGAGTTTTTTATCGTGTAGCGGACAGATTCCGATTAATGTCCTATGTATGTATTTCTAAGTCAATGTATTGGACATATTGTGAATGAATCCATCATCTATCAAGTTTATTTTTGATCATCCTTCGTAAAAATGTATTGAATGATACAAACACTGTCGGCCTCCCTCGACCTATATTTACCTAATGACGACGAAAATAAACTATATGAAGACAAAAAATAAATATAAACTTCAAAGTAAAATAAAATAAAAATAGGTAAAATGATAAAAAGAAATGATTTATACTCTTATCAAAATCGTTCATCAATCCGCGTTTGTAAGTGATTATTCTGCAACCTATTGTAGCCGGTGGGTGACCAATACTTACCGCTCCTTTAAGAATAGCTAAACTTGCCTCAGGTGGCCTTATGATTGTGAAGGGTTTTTGAAAGTTTTCACGCATTGTTTCATAAACTATGTCACTTTCACTAAACTCTCCAACTAACAGAATAATTTTTACATTTTTCATATTTGACTCAGCAAGAATGTCTTTTACATGTGATATCATCTCTCGTATTGGCGAATCAAACCACTCCTTGATAACAGAAGCGTCTACTGTAAGCTTGTCTGAATAAAGTTTTAATTTATGCTTAAGTCCAAGAGCAGCAGCCTTCTCCTCGATTGGTATATCCTCGTTTTCTTTATACAATTGTAAAAGCCTATTACCAAAATAAAACGCAATGCTTTTATTGTCTGGTCGCATGAGTTTTTTCTTTATCTCGATATCACGAAGCAAATTTTTATAATTTAACATGTTCTCACTTTTAAAATTTTCCATGGTAGATTTGCCAAATAATTTTGTGAGCCATTGCAAGAAGTTGTCGTCAATTTGAGTTCCACCAAACGATCCTCCACTAGGCTTATGTATCTCTTTTACTGACCCATCAATTTGCTTTTCATGTACAGATATATCTACAAAACTTCCTAAAAAGACATAGTATATACTTACATTTACATTATATCTGGTAACTTACCACACAAACTCCTTGAAACTTTATTTGATATAATATAATATCTTTTTTTTTAATTCTTAAATTCTCTTAATTAATAGCAGTCGTTGCTTTCATACTGTTATAAATGCATATATATGAAAAACACGACTGCCTTTGCTGCAGTTCTCTTCTAAAATGTATTTAATAACATAAAATATTTTTTGAATTTTGTTATGGAATTCGGTTTTTGATATAAAATAAAAATCAAAAATCGTTCCTTCAACACGCTTATCAAATCTCAAAATCACGACCCTTTGAAATTGTCTCAAGAAGAAAATCGCCCATTTCTATAATTTAATTCAAATATGCATTTTACAACATATACTTCTTTTTGTAACGAACAACCATTCAAAGAACACTTGTTTGGATCCTGATATATCTTTTATCTCCAAAAAAAAAATTGTATAAAGAGTGTCATCTTTAAATCGTCGAAACTAGATTATCTTAAATTGACACTGAATTAATCTTAATACTTATGATGTTTTTTTCCCGTAAAAAGTCACTGAATACAGCATGTTTTCGCTAACAAGCTTTTAACGTTTTAACTGTATTTACAGTATTAATCTGAAATATCCATGCTTTCATACCTCCAAGATCAATCACCATGTATTGTGTCCCTGCTTTAGATAACATAGTCCTTGCCTCATCTGTTGCAATTTGACACCAAATAGACGCGGCCTCAGGCTCTAACGCTAGTTTCAGATTGGAGCTTTGTATGCCAGCCTAACATTCAATTTCGACACAAAAATAAATAAAATGCATTGTATTGTGCTCATGAATACAGTCTTGTGACTAGACATCTGTTTATAACTATGTTTTGTAATTATGAATTTTTATCAATTTTTTTCAAATGTTTAATGTTTTTGTACATAGTAACAGATCATCAAACGGAAGAACAAAAACATGATTGTAATTTTTTATCAAAAACTAGCTTCTTATCTAAAATATAAAAATGTTGGGATTTATTACCTCAACCGCTGCCTTACGCATGAATTGTTTGGCGTTTTCTTTCCATATAGCAGGCACTGTTAAAACATACTTGATATCACTCTCTTTGATCCATGGCTCTTCTTTTTCCAGGCGTTTCAACAGATGATTTCTAAGGTAGCGAATTGACATGCCAAAAATTGTCATGGCAGGCATTGACACACCGTTTATGTCTTCTATACTCGTATTTCTTGTTAAATCCTTAAAATTATGTAGAATGAAAAAATACTTGAAATTTTGTATAACGAAACAAGACAATTTATAATTTTGCACAGAATTGGATAACTTCAAAAAATGGTATGTGACTGTTTTAACTTCTTATCCCTAACAAAAACATTTAATGTTATATACTAGAAGATCTGCATTTTCTCGAATATTTTCTGTCTGATGTACTATCAAAAATGAAAATGTCACATGGTGAGAAATATTGTGCAGCCTGACCGGGATCCTCAGAATACAGTTCTGCGACTTTACCGTCTTGAGCTACCCGGGCCTCACCTAAATTAGGGAACCGTTCTGAGACGTGACCTATTCCCCCGCTATATGAAAATTGTCCTCGAATTTCTAATAGTTACAAAAAACAATATGACATTGGACTCGGGGCTCTGTTCCATCACGGTCCATCCGTTAGGCCCCAAATTGTAACATGGTGAAGCTGTAAAGATGAGCAGCTGCTACAACCGAACAACGAATTTGAAAACCCAACGTCTTATCTGTATTTGAAGGTTTTTTTTTATTTTAAAGCCATTTCCAATGCAAAAATTTTTAACATAAAAAGTTTTGTATATTTTTAAATTAAAAACCCCCTTCCAAAAGGGTTTGAAAACGATTGGTTTTTTCCAATAACTACACATTTCCATTTTTAAAGGGTTTAAACGCAAAAGGGTAGGGAAAAAAAACCTACAAAAGTTTCCCTATTCTAAAAAATTAATTAAAAATTTAAATATGTCAGCCAAAATTTAAACCCCTTATTATTTTTAAAGAATCATTTGAAACTTCTAAAAAAAGCCAGCCGTGGATGTTTGTCCTTCTGGGTAAAGACCTAAAAAATTTTTTTTAAACCTCGAACCCAAATGAATCAAACTCTTTTCGGGGATGAGAAGCACACTATTTGTGTTTTTGCTTGGCCCCACTATGCCCCAATTAAAAATTTTCCCAATCTTGACTTGCTAAAATATCTTTTGGTTTTTATCCCCCCGGAAAAAAAAAATTTGCAAGCCACGTTTCGTTCCCCAAATTCAAACGCGGCAACTATAAAAGGGCCCGTGTCTTCACAAAAAAAATATTGTTTTAAAAAACCGTTTTTTTAAACAGTTTTTAAAATTGTTTTTTTCCAAATTTAAAAAAAAAAACTTTGATGGGGTTTGTGAAATTTGCTATTTACATTTGGGGGCCCCAAACCCCCACCCCCTTTAACGAAAATGAAAATTTTCGTTTTGAATGAAGTTGTGAAAAACCCTTTTTATTTTTGCCAAAAATTTTTTGAAATTTGGGGTTATACTGAAGGGGAAACCAGTATTTAAATTACTACTTTTTTTTAATAAAAAAAGGCTTTTTTTAAAAGGGGGGCCCATTATGCCCAAAAAAATTTTTTATCTTTTTTTTCCCAAAAGGGCTTTTTTAATTTTGGTTTATTTTCCCTTATCCACAAAGTTACACATTGGCCAATTACCAATAAACCACGGACGTAATATAAATCCGTGCCTAAACCATGTTGCTTTTTTGCAATAAGAAGAGGTAAAGTGAATAAGTAGTTTGTATGGAAAGCAAAATACTACTTTGTTTACATTTTGCTACTAAATAACAAATTATTTCACATATTTATTGGTTTTTTTCCTGTAGCAAGCATCTAACATTCTCTAAAATTATGAACTTCATGATTGACCTTTCTAAAGAAGTGAACAATTTTATTTATTTTTGAGCATAATGATGCTTTAGAGTTACTGTGGTTGCTTTCTGATATAGTCGTCATATGCCAGTATACATATTTATCTGTCACTTTTTTTACAATAATTTGAGTAAAAACGCAATTCAGAGGGTCATATAGTCGGTGTATATGTTTCTTTAAATATTTGATAGTTTGGGTATAAATAGAATTGACGTCTGGTGACTCACAATTTCATCAAATCTTAAATCTAAACATTTAAGATTAAAAAATGAAATTTTGAAATATATGATTATAAAGGATCATACAGTATTGCAGTTTGCAAAAAAAGGAATGAAATCATTCAGATGACTTTAGTTTTAATGGTATTTTAATAGATATGGAGTAGCGATAGTTAGAACTACACAGCTTTTAATCTTTTGGTGGAGATAGTGAAAATCAAATAGGTTGTCAATAAACAGTTATACATACCACTCGAACAATTGACATCATTATTACTGAACTCATCTCGGCCTTCGACGACTATTAGATGTAATACGATCACAGAAGCAATAATGATTGAGCAGTCCATTTTAAATCCAAGGGAGAAAATTTGACAAAACTAAATGATTGCGCATAGAGCATTAAAAAAAGAATAAAAAATATCACTTATAAATGTTTTCCTATAGAAATTGTTCATAAACAACGCAATTTAACAAGATCAGTCAAAATTCATCGAAAATAAATGGGTTTTTCCTACTTTCGTTTTAGAACAGAAAGTAGAAAATAGTTGTGTTCTACATTCGGTTTTAATCTTTAATGTTTAAACGAAAGTAGAAAATTCGATACTGACTTCACTTCTTTTCATATGATTGTTACAATGTTAAATACAACGGTAATGGATTATCTGAAATAAATATTGTGTCATAATTTTAAGAACCGGAAATTTCTGTATATGCGCGATCACTTTATATTTTGGGCAGGTTTTCTTGAAATTTGAGTGAAAATGGAATGCTCAATCATTCTTGTGTCCGTGATATTACATGTTACAATTGTTCAAGGTCAATATGAGTTCTGTAAGAAAGGTGGCGACTGTCCGAGCGGTATGTATAATCGTTTTATTGACAACTGTTTTGATATACATGTACATCGTTGTCAACTGAGAAGTTAAAAGCTTCAAAATTTAAACAACTACGTCAAATCTATTTTAATTATTATTGTTAAAAATTCTTTTATTCTTTTTGAACTATTTATATGCTGTGTATATAATATCTGTATTATTCTGATATTTGAAGTCTATTTCAGATTTGATAAAATCGTTAATAACCGTGCTTTTGAAATTTAATGTAGGTACAACATCTGCTTATTCTATTAAGCATACAATAATCTCTAGGATATTGTTGATATTAAATATTTAAACCATTTGTACAATTTAAACAAGGACGATCGGCTTCGTTGAACATAAATACATGAATATATAGCTTGTACTTTCTCATGTTCGTTAAACCGTAGCATGTATCTTGTTACAATTAAAATCGACAACAAGTATTAAAATGAATAAAATATTTAAAGTGTATACAGGCTTTAAATAGCGTGTTATGTCTCGAAAAAAGAGCATAATTCTTATTTGAACTAAATGGCTTATTCAAGGTATACCCATATGCCGTACTGACCAACGTATAAAAATTGATATACTTGTATACATTGAACTTTCATTACTGTCTGTTAAACCTTTAAGTGTATCGATTAGTTCTAAATTTAAACATAATCTTTAAACAGTTATTTGATTTTATTGTTTTGATAAAAGATCAGAAAATCATATCGTATATCAGATTAATTGTTGACCTTTAAACCAAGTTAATTGTATACATTTGTACAAATCTAACTGACGTCGAGGACCAAAAGAATAAAAGATAAAGTTTTAAACCCTAACATAGATCAGCCGGTGAGCTTGAAACAAAAAAAGCAAAATGATAATGAAGAGGTATGTCTAGAATTAAAAATAATTTTTGTGAAATGTTTTAAATTCTTAATTCGAATTAAAATGGTTTGAATTATCATTGCGCTACATATATTCCTACAAATATTCTGTTCCTTACCAATACCTTAAATGTATCTATAATCAATCGTCCAACTTATATTTTCTCTTACTTTGCACATGCCTTTTTCTAAACTAATCGCTGACTTGTCCAATTAATAGTCAATATTTTTGAAAGCATATATGAGTTATTATATGTCTTTTGTGTACCTTTACATAATACGGCTATAAAATAAAATATTTTATTTAAGATGTAGAAACTTCCTTGCTAGTGGCTGCGTTTTGATTTTGGACAACATACAGTGGCTATGCATTTTCTTTCCGGGGCGATAAACCAACGGCTATTCGAGCAAGTCAAGATTGGACTTATGGGATATAGTGTGCCAAGCAAGACAGGCAACTAGTGTGCTTCTCAATCCTAGTAAAGAGTTCGATTCATTTGGATTCGAGGCTGAAGATAAATATCTAGGTCTGACCGAGGAAGAGAAACATTAAGGGCTGGCTTCTTTTTAGAAGATTCAAGATGATTCTTCACAATAAGAAGGTAAATATGGCTGACATATAATTTATATTATTTCACATTTTATAAAATATAACCAGTGCACTATCAGCGTTTGCATCACGTGATGTTCCAATAGAAATAATTATTGGATCAAGTCTTATCAATTTAGCCTCGTTTTCATGCAGAGTTCAAACAGTCCATATCAAATCCATATTACACCACAAACGACTCGTTTTGAGAAATTTCATTTTCATGGTCTAAAATGTTCATATTAAATCTATAACGCACCAAATCTGCCATAGTTTTCAGTTTTTGAGAGTCCAAAATCCATATCAAATCCTTATTGTAATTGAAGTAACTAAATTCTGTCAAAACGTCTATTGGACTCGAACACTGCAAAACTATACCAGAGTCGTTCAATATAAGTTTGACAGCTGTGTACTCATTCAATAGAATCAGTATTGTACTCAACAATGTATAAGAACCTCATAATATCTACACTAAATGTGCCCATGCAAAGATATTAGCATTACTTTAGAAACTGAAAGGTGACGTACGCATATAAAACACCACTTGCATTTACATTCTTCGTTTGATTATAAAATTATATAGATGTATTTATACTAGAAATATGTTTCTTGAACATTCAAATATTTTTTTAAAGGCCCAATATACGACAGGAAATGCTTTATCTTAATTTCTCAAAAGCTTTTTAGTTTTTGGAGTCCAGTAAATATAGTTTCCGAAAGATAAGTCATTCGCAAATTACCTGAAGTATCTATTTCTTCTGTTGCTCTGTTGCTTTTTTG